GGTCGTTGTTGGCCCGCTGAGTATCAGGTATGCCTTGAGGTTCCCCCCTTTTCTCGCGATCTTCCCGTCGTCCAAACTCTGTCGCGCAATCGCGCTCATCACACCGTTTGGCGCCCATCTCCAGATGATCCCTACGCGTGCGCTTGAAACAACCCTTGCATACATCGATCGAAGGTTCGGTGCAAAGGCGACAGGTCTCACTCGGATTGCCTGTTCGCGTTTGAGCTTGCGTGGCGCCAGGCTTCTGAATGGGGCGAGCAGCGATCGGATGAGGAGGCGGCTCAACGCTCAACGTGCGCCAGCTGCGCCAGCGTCGGTCCGACCCTTTCAGCGGGGTCTACTTCTGCTGGCGGCACCGCAGCCGCGGACCCTACTCACGTCACAGATCCTGTCGCGATTTGCCCGGTTTACCGAACCTTATCCCGTGATTCTTTGCCAATCCGACGTTGCTCCAGGTCGGACCTTAACCTCCTGTTTTCGTCACTCACGGCCCGAGTGGCAAGAACAATGTTCCTTATCTGTTCATCTGCGTGCCTTTTCAGACGATCCCAGGCAACGGCCATCCTCTGTTGGCCCTCATCTCTGGTTACCTGGGCCTTTTGCTCTTGAGCTCGAAGGGCTCGCAGGGCTTCCGATCTGACTCTTTCGGCCTCAAGTCTAACAGCTTCAAGTTGATTGCGGGGCTCCTGATTTTCTCGCGCCGCATGTTCTCGGGCTCCTTTCTCTCCTTCCCTCCTGGCTGCATCAGCCATCTCTCTGCATTCAGCATTCTCCCTTTCAGCCCTCTGCTGGTCTTCTGACACCAGCTGTTCGGCTAGACTCTGGATTCTCCATATGTCATTCTCCTCTTGGGCAAGGCGCCGCTGGGCTTCGTCCGCGACTCCTGCTACGCTGGCCTCGGCGTGCTGCATCCGTTTCTGCGCATGTTCCGCACTGACCGTTTCCTCCTATTCCACCTTTTGTGCAAATGCCTGCCTCTCTGCCTCAGAAACTGCGACCGTGCGTTTAGCCTCTTCGGCGGCCTTCTCATCTACCTGCGCCTCAAGGATGATCTGTTGAATTTGTGCACTCGCAGCCCTCAACTGTTCTCGATCCCGTTAATTTCTCCCCGCCCACTCTAGAATGGCGATACGATGGCAAGTGCGCCCTTCCATCGTAACGCATTCCTCACAAAGCCACGCCCGACTACACTGAAGACAGACATTCGAACAACGCGAACACACTGGCCTCCGACGTGGGCCGCCCGGCATGCGCGCCTCCCCATGGGCATCGGTTCTCCGCCTGAGTCGGGCATGCGGGCCCGGCTTTCCAGCAACTCCCCCGCGTGTAGAAGCTGCTGGTGGCTCTATCCGATGACGACCGCGGTGGTCCAAGGGCGTCGAATCCCCTGCAACTGGAACGTCCAGCCCTGGGGGCCTTACTGGAACGCCCCCGTGCACTGCTGGAGGCAAGCGGTGTTGTTGTCTTGTTCTCACACCCCCATGGATGAACTCGACGCCCCGATACTGTGCTAAATCGTCTCTTTCGCCCTGCACTACTACCTCATCAAATTCTGATACTGTGTCCCTGTTAGTCCTCGGCAATGAGAAGTCGGGTCGGCGGTCGGTGGGAACCTCGCAATTAAGGGTGAAGAATTTCGGTCATCGTTCTCACCCTGCGGCTTCCTTGTCATTGGCTGGGGGGCTATGCCTGTAGATTTTCGTGCATTTCCTCATTGCGCGTATGACATCGGGGGAGGTCGTCGACATCGGCTGCGCCGACGGGCATCCACCTCGGTCTGGGCTCCCTCCGTCTTCGGGATCGTCACCCGAATCAAGAATTGCCTTCTGGATTGCCTCAACCGGCACATGGTCAACTGATGCGCTCGCTAACGGGGCCGCGCCTGAGTCAAGGCCGACGCATCCATCGGGAAGAGGATCGAAATGATACGATGGACCAGGCGAGGTGTGGAATCGAGCATCTTCTTCGTTCTTTTCAATCGAATGAGAATTGTCTCCTTGAGACTGCAGGTCGCTCGCGTCCTCGCTCTGCCCATGCAACGCGAACTGCGCTGCGCGCTCTGCGCCAAGACTCTCGTCGGCCGACGTTCCTGTAGGGACGTGGTCCAACAATTTCTCCATCTCAATATTTAAGTCGATCGGGCCGATGTACCGACACCAACTCAGATGGCCCCTCGGCGGAAGTTCTGGCTGCGCCACACCTTCCGCCCGAGGCTTGTGCTCTGGGCCTTGTCGCCGAGTCAACCGAAGATTCCCGTTCTGTCAAGTCAAACACAGTCTCTGATGCTTGCTTTCTGGGAAGGTTGAGAGAATTTGGTCGCCTCATAGAGGCATCTGCACTTTCGTTGCGCTCGGAAGGGTCTTGATCTTCTGTTCATCCGAGCGCTCCTTCTTGTGACCCCATGCTCTGCGAAACTAACGGGGGTCGTCCATTCGGCTGATAACCAGTCTTTTGCCTAAAAATTCAGAATCCTTGCAAGATGTTCTGTCGATGTCTCATGGTCAATGGGCTCCGCCGATGGCATGAGGAAGAAAAGGATAATGCCGTCAAGCGTGCACTCGGATAACACTGAAGGGAGGAGGCCAGCCCGCCGGCCGACGCACGCGCGCGCGCCGCAGGCACGCTCCTTTTCCGCCAACCGAGAGCCAAAGTGTAGCTGCGGGAGAGAAGCAGTCAGTACATCGGACAGTGCACGCAAGACAAAGGAGCAGGAAGGGCAATAGGATGGTGGTGCGGAAGGGGTGCATTGACTCGAATTTATCGGTGCTGGGATGTGTCCGTGTACTGCCTCGGTGTGCTGGGATCGGTGTGCTGAGATGTGTGGACGTACTCGGATGTGCGCAGGGGGTGCTGGGAAGTATGGAGTGTGTCAAGATGTGTGCTGGGTTTGTGCTGTCTCCGTGTGCTGGAATGTGTGATTGCCTCGGTGTGCTGCGATAAATGTCGGCCGTGCCCCCCCTGGATGTGCGCAGATGTGTGCCCGGTGTGTTCGGTGCTAGTATGTGTCAGTGTACTCTTCCGTTGTGCTGGGATGTGTGCTGCCTCCGTGTGCTGGGGTATGTGTTGGGATATGTGCTGGAATGTGTGCTGGGATGTATGGGCGTGTTGTCATGTGCTGCGATATGTGCTGGTCATGGCCCCCATGGGTGTGCTGGGATGCGTGCCGGGATGTGTCGGTGTACTGCCTCGGTGTGCTGTGATATGTGCTGGCCGTGGCCCCCTGGGTGTGTTTGGATGTGTGCTCAATGTGCTCGGCGCTGGCATATGTCGATGTACTCCTTCGGTGTGCTGGGATGTGTGCTGCCTCCGTATGCTGGGATATGTGTTGGGATATGTGCTGGTATGTGTGCTGGGTGTGTTGGGATGTATGGGCGTGCAGTGATGTGCTGCGACATGTGCTGGCCGCACCCCCTGGGTGTGATGGGCTGCGTGCTGCGATGTGTCGATGTACTGCTTCGGTGTGCTCGGTGCTGGGATGTGTCGGTGACCCACCGTGCCACCCCCTGCCCGACCGTGGCCCCCCGTGCCCCCCCTTCCACCCGTGCCCCCCATCTGCTTATTCCGACCGACCGACCGTGCCCTCCTCCCTGCCCGACCGTGCCCCGCCATGCCAACCCCTGTCCCCCGTGCCCCCCCCCCCGCCCGACAATGGCCTTCCGCGCACCCCCCCATTCCCCCCGTGACCCCTCCCCTCTGCTTATTCCGACCGGCCGACCGTGCCCCCCCTCTGCCCGACCGTGGCCCTCCGTGCTCTTCCCCCGTGGCCTCCCCCTCTGCTTCTTCCCACCGACCGTGCAACGCGGCTAGACGAGGTGAGGAAGGTTGATCGCGAGAAATGCTTGCCAGCATCTTGGCCTCCTGGGGTCGACGCAGGTGGGCACCGCACGTGGGGCAGGTGAGGTCGAGATGAACGAGCGCGCTGTCGAATGAAACCCCATGCTTGATACGCCGTTGGTGTGTCAGGGCTTTCGGGTCGGCGAACGCCTGCGCGCAGTCGCGGCACGCAAAGAGCTCCTCGCAGAGATGACGGTGACGTCAATGTTGAGAAACAGCTTAGATTGAATCAGCAACGACATGACAGAAACCTCCTCTGGGAACTGTCAATCTTTGCACTGCCAAACACGTTCACGGAAATCGACGCATACGCAGACAGTGTGAACGCAATGCGATGGGGAGTATCCGCATACCCTGTCTTACCGAAAGCGGCAGATATCCAAAGATGCTTGTACGAATCCACAACATGCACGCGGGCGGGTCGGGACGGGAATTGCAAATATCGCCTCCCATCTTCGGGGCATCGCTGGCGCTCTCAAAAATGCACCGCGCCATGCAAACGATGTCTGAGAAGGCACTCGGTCTTGCCACCCGTGCCGTGCCAGCTAAACAACGTAATAGACGTGTTGTGTGCGCTGTGTGGTGTGAGCCATGTGGTGTGAGCTATACGTTGCAAGCTATGCGGTGCAATATGTGAGGCGTAAGCCATGTTGTGTAAGCCATGTGGTGTATGCGCACGGGGCGCACACGGAGGCATCCATTAGCGGGCTCGGGACGCGGCGAAATCTCGGAACACCCTTCAAACGCACGGGGCGCCAACGAGGCGCCCACCAGCGGGCACGGGCGCCAACGCGGCGAGTCCCTAGGAAACCTGCCCAAGGCACGGGACGCGCAAGAGGCGGTCACGAACGGGCACAAGCACCACCGCACGGGGTGCCCCCGGGGCGCCCACGGGCGCCAACGTGGCGAAAACCCGGAATCTCATCGAATTGAAAAGGAAGCCAGATAAGGCCCCCCACGTGCAAGCACAGGTCTGGGAGGATGGACCACGCTCGCGACGACACTGGCAGCGAGTTCTCGTCAGCATGGACCAGAAGCGCGAGTCATCTTCCAGGAGCGGACGAGAACTGCTATCAATCTTCGTCACGATCTTTCCCGTGCACTTTCGAACATACCGACAACTCCCCTGGCACGCGCCTAAAGAGCGCCGCGGCCGGCGGGCGCGCCGGTGCAGGTGGCGCTACGGCGAAGGCGAGCTCGAACGAGGCCTCGCCGCCCTCGTTCCTGGTGCCACGACAGGGCAGGCAACTTCGCCCGGCCGGCGAGTACCAGTTATGCTACCTGGAGAAACGCTGACTCAGGAACGAAGGGGACTGTCTGCCCACGGCGAGCCTCGGCCACGACCGTGTTCCTCGGCCTGAAAATAGGGAGAGGCCCGAACACCAGGGCCCCGCCTGAATCCAAAGTGGTCCTTGCAGCAAAGTCTTGATTGTACCACGGCGCATCGGCCCGCGACTTGGACAAGGGTCTGCTCGTTGCGTGGCCTGTCGACTACGCAACCATTCCCGATCCTGCAATTTCCAAGATGGTGCGAAGACGGGACTGACTCTGATGTGCGAACCTGTGCTGGGAAAGAACCGTGACCTCCTGAGGCGGCCTCATCGGGAACTGCGCAAACTGGAAAGGTTTCAAGATTGACCCCTGCCCGACAAGACAAATCGATGACCCATCTCGGTACCAGCACACGCCCACCCCTTCCCACCACCACACGCAACCACACAACCACACAGAATTGGCCCTCGGACGGCAAGGTCGCAACGACGCCGCTGGTTTCGCTGCGTGGCAAGCGTGTTCACGCACAACTGCCCACATGCACACGTCATCGACTGAAGTGTCGAACAGACACCCGTCAGTAGGCTCGGGAGCCAGAAATATAATTTGCGCAATTAGTAATGAAAAAGGGCGTTCCAACCAGATCCGTGGAGTCAACGCACAACTTGAGCACAGCCCGTGTACACAACATACGAACACACGCAACGCACGCACAACCACACACAATCCAAACACACAACAAATGACACAAAACACATATACATACACACACGCACACCTGTTGCGGCCACGCGGGCAGCGGCGCAGAGGAACCAGAGTTCAATGGAAAGCGGGAAAGCGCGCACGCCGTAGACGCACACATTCACAGACCAACACACACACACACACACCCTCACACGTCTGTTGGCGTCGCGGCCGCAAGCGCAGCAACACATGGAAGTGAGACAAGTAAGTGCCCAAAGGGTGCAGATGGGACCTTGCAGGAGCTGCCAGGGACTCATGCAGCGTCAGGCGGCGAGCGCAATGTTCACCCATAGGGAATCACGCTGTGCAGGCGTCCCTGGATGGGGGGCAACCGAAAAGTGGACAAGCGGGGTGGCCCGAGAAGGTGCCACACCCAGAAGATCCTCTCGAGAAGGCAATGAAACGAACAACCAGCAACAAACCATACAACACATCTATACACATTTTCCCGGGTGAGCGCGCCACTACTGCACGCTCTGTTGTGGATGCTTGGGGCGGCGCGCTGGGGGTGCCGCGCACGCGCAAGAAATTACAAGTCAATTCACGAAGTTCACAAGCAAGTTGACTTCACAACCCGCAAGATGGGAAGAACACGCGCATGATTCTTCCAGCGGCGAAATGGCGGCACCGTCGCGAACACTAATGGGGGGCTCGCTAAGTCCGATTACCACCCAGCGTTGCAAGTTTGGAGTCTGGACGAAAGCAAACGGCATGCAAAAACGCGAGAAAGCGCATGCACTGGGAAAGTGCCGATTAAGTCGCGCTAGTACGCAGGAGCGCGCGGAACACAACCAGCGCAGTAATGCAAGAGGCGAGAGAGGTGCGCGTATAATCTTACCCCCGCAGCCCAAACGCTGGGGTGCGACGCGGTAGCTGTCCGTGCAGATGAGGTGCACGAGTGCACAGAACAACGTATACTGACTGTACGGCGGTGCAGCAATGGGTGAAACGTGCACAACGTTAATCCGCAACCCTTCTGTAAAGGTGCGACGCGGAAAAAATACCCATGCCGGTGGAACGCCAGGAGAAAGACCATCACCGTTAGGACGCGTACCAGGTCGGGGGCTATGCCCCGCTCATGCGTGGCGCCGCCCCGCACTGAGACCAATCCGGGGGGGGGGCTCGAGGCAAGAGGAAGCAAAGCAGACTGTCGGCGGCCAAGCCGATACGACAGAGGAACAGGCCCGTCTGGACCCTAGGGCCTTTGATCCCTTGGCAGGCGTGGCGGGAAGGGGCGCGGGACCACCACGGTCCCCGTGGGCGTGGCCAGAGCAGGCGCCGACTCCAGCACCTGCGCCGTTCAGACAAGCGCAAGCATGGACCGCATCAGCGGCGGGGGGGCCTGGCGAACCAGGGGAAAGGTGGAAGCCGGGCCGCCCACATAAATGCTTGGGCCAGCCCTCAGGCCTGGCCAGGCGCACGAGAGGCGCTGGCACAAGCTGCTGGAGGCTGAAAGTGGGGGTCGGGCGCAGGGTCCCGGCAATTGTGTCTCTACGGGCCATGCATGGGCGATGCATCCTCGATTGCTATGTTCGGCGGGGGAACCTCTTGAAGCTCCTCCTTGCCCCCATGCGCGAGACTTGGGGGTGAACGAAGCAAGGAGGCGGGGGGCTCGGGAAAGCCGACAAAGGCAACGTGCGCTGAGGGCGCAAAAAGACAAGGTTTGAATAAACGAACGCGGCGAGGCGAGTGTCAACATCTGCCCAGCCAATCTGACATGCGGAACACTGAGCCTCAATTTTGGGAATATTGAAGGCCAGGGCAAAATGTGAATTCACCTTTTGGGAAAGAGCAAAATGCTAATGCACTGTTTGGGGAAGGGGAAACTGTGAATTCACATTTTGGCAAAAAATGATCATGCGATTTCACATGTGCCAGAATGCGAATTCACATGTTGGGCAAACGTGCGAATTCACATTTAGGGAAAATGAAATTGTGAATTCACATTTTGGGAGAATCACGGGACCCATTCCATATCTGCCTTCGGTTTCGACAGATCGTTTGGTAACATACGCGATCATCAACCGAACAAACCAAGACACACTTGCACTCCATTTCGCCGCCCCACGCGCGATATGCAAAAACGCCCGCACGCGTGAACGATAATGGATGGACGGCGCGTTGCCCGCGCGGGCAACGCGCGGGCACGAACGCCTGGCCCTCCATGACCACCAACACTGGATGCCAATCATACCCGATCACATACATGAGCGGTACATTGAACATACATGGGCCATGCAGCGCCCATTGAAGACCACCTGTTGCAGACCCCTTCTTTCACCCTCCAAAGCTGGCCATGCCCACAGGGGACAGCGAGTCCGGCCGCTGAGGCGCTAAACAAACAGTGGGGTGGGGGGATGGGGACACGACGGGTGTGACTGGGCGCCGACGGGCGAGACTGGCCCCAGAGACCCGCCGCACAGACACACACACACACACACACACACTCGTTGTTGGCGGTCGCGGCCTCGCGAGGCGGAGCAAATCGAGCAGACGGCACAGAGCTAACTCGCGCGGCCAAGCCCTCAGACGCGGGACCAAAACGGATCGATCGCACGCCCACCCGGGCAGGGTGAGGAGTGAGAAAATTGAGGCAGCGTCCACAGACGGAGACGGCGGGACCCAACGAACGACACCAACAGGACGTGGAGGGCGCGCCCAGGCTGAAACACGACGAGCCGGGATGCTGGGCGAGCTGCCCCGCGGTGGAAGCACACACACACACACACACCTTTTCTCCAGGGCGTCGAAGACACGGGTCAACGGTAGACAGCATTGGGGGGGGCTACCGCAGGAGAAATTACCTACACACCTGGCGCACCGAACACGGGACAATCGTACACCTGTTCCTTTGGCCAGGTGACGACACCGTAGCGGAATATAGCACGGACACTAACGACCGCTATTCTTACCGCCAGAGACACTCGCACACACACATACAAACACACACACGCACACACGTGTTCCTCTAACGCCGTGGTGAGAAAGCACCCACGGGTGCGATACATGCATGCGGCACGCGCGAGATGCAAACAATCGCCAAGAACTTGCCCCACGGCGGCCGGAACAGTCGTGCAGTTCCGGGACAGGGGCAGACAGGCCAGGCCAGTGTGCAAGAAGAAGCAGAGCGCGGAAGCACCCGAGACACAAGGATCGTACAGTGGAAGCGAGAGGCGAGCAGCGGAAAAGGGGCAGGGGGCATCATGGGCCCGCACCACAGGTTACTCCGGCGAAGGGTCACGGGTACCCTTCGCAGGGGTAACACTGCGTTGGTCGAATGACTTTGAGCTGCCCCTGGCAACACGATGAACTGACGCACATATTCACGCACAGGTCTGGTGCAACAGCAGTGTCGGGTCGGGCTGGCGTCCCAAAAGCCTCCCTGCGCCTGAGGCGCCAATGTGCCGGGGGAAATGCCCGGCGGCAGCGCCGCGACCTGCTGCTGCTCTGCACGACCCGTTTTCCAATCCCCCCCTTTCGTCAGGCCCGAGCCGTGTCGAATCACGAAATCGGATCGGGTCGGCAGCGGATCGGATCGCGCTTGAATCGGCCGACGTCGGATCGGAATAGAATCGCTTGGGATCGCGGGTCGGGCCCGACCCCTGCAGGCTGGAAAAGAAACCAACTCGTGGCCTCGGATCGGAACCAGAATCGAAGCTTGGGGATCGTATCGTATCGCACCTGATCGGACCGCGAGTAGCCCCGACGGCGGTGGACCTCCGTCGACGTGGCACTTTCCCACGCGCAGCTGACGAGGGCGCCCAACGGGACCCGCTGGCACGCCGAGCAGGAGCTTCGGCGCTCGTCCCCGGTCAGCGGCGCACCGAGGGGGGAAGGCAGGGAAGGGCAGGCCTGGCAGGCCCCCTTCAAGGCGGCGGTCCTTCGGAGAAGGCTCAGGAGACTCCTCCGATGGCCGGAGGCCTTTTGAGCCTTCTGACCCACCTCTGCGCGCGCCGCCGACCATGGGGCACCGGGCGGGCGCGCCGCGGCGTCCTCGCCGTGACCACGTACGTCTGCAGGCCGACCGCCAG